CATATAGGCTGGGAGCAGTGACTATAATCTTAGCATTTGGGGAGGCCAAGGAGGGAGGATGGCTTGAGCGCAGGAGTTTGAGACCAGCCTGAACAAGAGTGAGATCCCATCTCTACTAAAAATAGAAAAAAATTAGCTGGGTGTCATTGTGCATGCCTGTAGTTCCAGCTACTCAGGAGGCTGAGGCAGGAGGATCGCTTGAGCCCAGGAGTTTGAGGTTGCTGTGAGCTACGATGATGCCACTGCACTCTAGCCAGTGACAGAGTGAGACTCTGCCTCAAAAAAACAAAAATTACTTATATAATAGAAAAACAACGGAACTTTTTTATAAAGAGGGAACAGGTTCTACAAAGCATGCCGCATTGACGCTGATAGAACGCCACACGGCCATTACATGGGTGGTGGATGCCAAGCTGGTAACACAGGAGAACATCAACAATACGTGTTCAGTGAGGCGGCCAGACATCCAGCCACAAGGAAGACGACCCAACTCACGGACATGGCACACGGGGAAGGACAGACAGCCGTGGAGCTGGAGGCTGGATTGTTTTGTGGCTAAAAGTACTGGCTCTGAGGCCAGTTGAAGGTTTGAGTGTTGGCTGTGCCACTTACTTGAAATGTGACTAATTAGTCAGCTGCGAGGGCCTCAGTTTCCTCATCCGTAGGATGGGGTAGTAATATCTGCCCTGCAAAGTACATGAAGTTCGTGGCCGGACCTGGCCCACAGGCTGCTCACGACGCTCTCGGTGCTTATCAGTGGGCAGGGCCACTACAGGTGGCTCGCTCTTCTTGATACCTTCTGGACTGGTCCACATTTTCCTTAACAAGCATGTCCTACTTCAGCCATCAGAGGAACGGTAGGCTGGGGCCCGCGGCCTGACAACTCCACAGGGCTGTCTCCACCCCAGCTGCTGCCGGCTCTGCCAGCAGCCACCTGGGTCACCAAGCCTGCCCTCTCCTGACCACCTGTCCCCTGCAGTGCCCAAGGGCCCATAGTCATCCTGGCTAATTCACTGTGGACCAAGTGGGCCAGGCCAGGGACAGGGTAGCTGACTGCCCACGAGTGGGACCAGGTGCCTCCCAGCCCGGCGCAGGCCACACTGGCTTCCCACCTGGCCGGAGCCCTCCACCTCTGGCCCGGAGCCTCACCTGCACCACGGGTCCACGCCCCACCTGCCTCTGACATGGCCCAGCATCAGAACCCTTCCCCACCCGGGGGAACAGCTCCAGGCCTCCCCACTGGCCACCCACAAAGCCCTTTTAAACCTCATCTCACCGTGTCACCTCTGCTGACATCCTTTTCAGGTCTTCCTGCCGCCCTTTAGATAAAGTCCAAAAATCTCGCCACCACCTCCCAGGCCGGCTGCCCTCCCCAGCCTCCTCCAGTCCCGTTGCCTAGTTGCCCGCTGCACTTCAGGCTCAGTTCAACCTCCCCACCCTCAGGCAGGTGGCCCTCCCCTCCCGCACCAGATCAGCCCCACGTTGTGGGGTCTCAGAGCAGCCCAGGCCTCCTGCACGCAGCCCTGGAGCCCTAATCGTGGCGTGAGTCTGCATCTGTGGGTGTGGTGGGCTCGTCCTTCTCCTTCTCTCGCCCCTGCACCCCCCACGGCAGGGACGTGCCTGCCGGTGCCCCTATAGGGGCAGCGCCTCTCATCTCACACGCTGACGGCTGACCCTTCTGCGGCTCCTGCCACGGGCCAGCACTGCCCTAAGCAGAGACACCAAGTGACTCGCTACCCCTCACGACAACCGGGGAAGCGGCTACTCTTGCTACCCCACTTTCCAGATGAGGACACTGGTGAGGCATAGGAAGCTCAAATAATTTGCCCACTGTCACAGAACTAGGAGGTGACAGAGCTGGGACGTGAACTTGAGCCACTGGGCTCCAGAGTCCGTACCCTTAATCACGGTGCTTTCCTGAGGCCACAAATGTGGGTCAACTGGATACATGATTCAACCCAGTGACTCAACCCTGGGGCTCTGGGGTCAGCCAGCGCTGGCCTCCCAGGCTCTGGCTCTCCTGCCTCGTTTGCAAAGCCCTGGCTCTCGACCCTGCGGGGCTGAGGAGCCCTCTTCCTGCTGGATTTGAAGTGGGACTCGCGGGTATACGACAGAGCCCTGGGCTAGGAGGAGGCAGACGGGCAAGGCCTGCCCCTGGCTGGGACCTGCTGTGGCGTCCTGACAAATGTCCCTCCGGCAGCCAGACTCGGGGGCCCGAAACAGCTTTCCCACCGCCGAGGGCGGGACCCGGCACGTGCCCTTGGGCCTGTGGCCCTTCAATCCTCTGCAGCCTCGGGAGGGAGGACGTCCCTCTCCTCTGCTTCTCTCCTCCCTGATCTTCCTCAACCCAGCTGTCCCTCTACCCTCGAGTCTGGCGGGGGGGTCTCTCTCCCACCAGCCACAGATCCCGAGGGCCTGGACGCGCTGCAGGGGCGACTGCCCAGGCTGGCCCAGACAGAGGGCAGGCCCCGCACCCGGGCAGGCCCTGCACCCAACGGCAGGCCCCGCACCCGGGCAGGCCCCGCACCCCAGGCTGGCCCAGACAGAGGGCAGGCCCGCACCCCGGGCAGGCCCCGCACCCCGGGCAGGCCCCGCACCCCAGGCAGACCCCACCACAGCAGCCCATAGTAGGTGCTCGGCACACACTTGTTAGCTGGAGGAGGAGGAAGGGGTGGGTGGCCCCATGGGGCTCTGGAAGCTGACACTATAATGGCAGACGAGGTGCCAGCACAGGCCTGGGGGAGGCCAGCCCTACAGTCCCACCAGGTCACCCCGAAAGCCCAAAGAGATCTGGTGAGCAGTGAGGACCCTCTGCCCTGAATCCCACCCATCCATGTGGACACACCACTTTCTCACCCAGTCTCAGCCAAGTCATGAACTCCAGCAGGGAGAGACCCTGCTTTAACCCTGTCCTGCCCGAGCCACAGATCAGCCTGCGGCCCAGGCCCAGCAACCTGGGCCTCCTACCCAACCAGCCTGCCCTGGAGCCACCTCTGCTCACCCTTGGGCTCAGGGCCAAGTGTCTAGGAAAAGGGGCATGACTTTTCCCCTTGGTGTTTTATGCAAGTCCCAACGGGGAGCAGCAGCTTCTGAGTCCAGTGTGTCTTCCGGAACCCACACCCTGATCTGTTACACACAGAAGCAGGCTGGAGTCCTGTCCACGAGGCCCCGAGTCCACAATTCCAGCTCCACGTGGTGGCAGGAAGACTCACCTGCTGGGTATGAGCCCCAGTGGCCACACCAGAGCTATTTCTCAAACGCAGGCGGAAGTGGCTGCGGCCCCTCCTGCCATGGCACATCTGCTCGCAGGACAGGGCTGTGCCACCACGGCCAGCACGGGCCAGGAGAAGCAGCTGAGGGACCATCTGCTGCCCCAGGAACAGGGGGTCAGTCTGGGGGTGGGACGGAACTGGCCTGTCCCAAAGCAGGCCGAGGAGGGCACGCCCGGCAACTCTAAACACCTGGTGGCTCGGCATCTGGACAGACCCACGGCCTCTGCAAAGCAGAAGTCTCCAAAGGAGTTCCTCTCTCTCTGCCTGGCCCAAGGGCGGCTGCCTCGCTTTACCCGTCTGTCAATGGGTACAGTAGCTCTACCCGACTTTGTGAGGATCAAATGAGACAAGCCGCGTAAAGAGCATGCACAGTGCCCGGCACACAGGAAGGGCTCGATGCATGGTGGTTACTGTCAGTGTGCTCCGTGTTAAAACCCAGAGCACCTCCAGGCAGCTGCGGTGCGGCCCCTACTGCCAACCTTCTAAGGAGGAGCCCCAGCCCAGCCCCGGCCACAGGCTCGCAGTCCTAGGCTGAAGCGGGCGCTCCTGCAGCTCTGTGCAAAGCGTCCGGGCCGGGATGCCGGCACCATATATCCGTGTATCCAGGGCCACCCACTGTAGTCTCTCTCCCAAGATCTCAAATTGATAGTCCGGAGTCAGGAGAGCCGGGCTTTGGAGGCCACTCTGCCGTTCACTCTGCAAGGCCTGGAGCCAGTCAATGGCCTTCCTTAAGTCATTCACCTCTGCAGCTGGGTTAGCAAAGAATGACCTTGGACCTGGGTCAGGCAAAGCCCAGGGGTGCTCTGGGTACCCTACAGAGGACGCAGGCCCTCCCTGGCCCTCCCAACTCCTTGGGCTCAGTCGCTGTTGTCTTAGCTTCTGGGACTTCGCATCTTCCTTCCGCTCCTCCCATCTCTCCAGCCTCTCCCTGAGCCTCCTTCCCCACCACCCAACTGTTGGCGGCCCCTGGGGCTCCTGTGAGCTGCTCACGTCCAGTACTGCGCCCCGACAACCCTGCCCTCTGCCCAAGCTCCAGCCGCTAAGATCTCATGAAACACTGACTGGCGTAGTCCTAGAAGGCTCCTGGGGGGAGGTGGCATCTCTCTGCTGGCTACTCACCCCCCAACACACACCGCTCTATCTCCAGCTCACAGAGCCCCTGCGTTTCAGAACATGGCTGGCTGCAGATTCCCACACACGTCATCTCCTTCCTTCTCCTGGGCTCCCAGCTAGGTCACCGAGACTGACACCACAGAGTGGCCACTGTCTCCTCACACCCAGCACCATCCCCTCTGCGCACCTCCTCCCACGCCCCTAGGGGCCAGGCTAGCCTCCCCTCTCCCCTGCATCACCCTGGTCTCCTGGCTCTGGGACCCACCCCCAATTCATCCTCCGATGGCATCCAGCCATCATTCCACGACCCTCCTCAGGTGCGTCTTACAACCCAGTAAACCTCATGTCCTTAGCCCGACATCAAGGCCCTCCCAATTTAGCAGCAGGTTACCTTTCTGCCTGGTCCCCTTCCTCTAGCCTCCCAACCGGAAGCTGAACACGGGACTCCCCACGGCGTCTCTGGACCTGGCACAGGGCCTGGCCCGGGGAAGGGGCTCCAGGGGTGCCTCTGGCCTGGATGGGAATCCTCCACAGTGGCCGGAGCCCCTGGGAAGCACCCCAAGCACGGCCCCAGCCCGGCCCCACTCCATGGCCACATCCCCAGCAAGTACTCACTTTGGCTCCGGGAGGGCCAGGGAGACCCGGATTTCCATAAGGCCCAGGAGGACCCTGCAAGGGGAAAAGAAACAAACACAAAAAAGGTGACAGAAAATAGGGGCCATCCCACTTCTGACTGCAATGCCTGGCCCCTTCCCTCCACCCACTGGTTTCGTGTCTTCTCTCCAAGCTGAGTGTCAGCCATGCCACCACGGCTACTCAGCCTGCTCTTAGAGCGCCCCTGGACGCCTGGCCCTGCGTGAAGCACGTCCATGTGTCATCTCATCTTATCCCATTAACCCACAAAGTAGGTGCCACCATTATTCCTGTTTTGAAATGAGCAAGATGATGCTCACAGAGGTTTATAACTGTCTCAAGTCACCCAGCTGCTAAGAGGCAGAGCTGGGCTTTGACCTCCGATATGTCTGACCTCAGAGCACGAGTCCTGGAGCCCTGAATTTGGCCACCTCTCCCTCAGCCTGGCCCCATCAGCCCTTCCCAGCTTCCCTGGGCTCAAACCACACTTAGCTGTTCATGTCTCTCCAGCACGCCTGGTACTCTCTCTCCTCACCACCTTTCCACGCTGTCCCAACCATCTGGCATGCCTTCCCATCCCCCTCCTCTGGCTGAACCCTGACCCACCCTTGAAGGCCTGACTCAAATGCCATCTCCTCCAGGGAACCTTCTAGGGCTCCTCCAGCCTCAAGTCGCTTCTTTAACTTTTGGACTCTAACTGGACTCCTTGGTGAGCCTTTGGAGTTGAGAGGTCAAGGAAGGGTGCACTTGACCTCTTGTGGACACAGGTGCACTATTCCTGTGGCTATAGCACGTGGTCAGAGCTCTCCCTTAGACTGCTGCAAGCTCCAAGCTTGCAAGGCCCCCAGAGACCACAGAGCAGCTGGGAAGCTGCTGGGTCCAAAGCAGCTTGGACCCAGAGAGTCCAAGAGCCTTGGTCAAGGTCATACAGCAGAGTCATAGCCAAGCGAGATCGGGGTCCTGGGCTTGGCTTCAAGTCCAGAGCTCGTTCATGGCACTGGGTTTTCCCAGGCCATGTCTGAATCCCCGTACCACAGCTGGGTCCTGTTAAGTCCACTTTCTCCAGCCAGGCACTGGGCTAGAGTCTTCCAGCCCAGTAAAAGAAACAGAGCCCTGAGAGTCAGGTAGTACTCGAGGGCCTTTGCCCAGCAGGAATAATCTGGAGCATTACGGGTGGGGAGAGGCACCTCAAGGGGTCCACTGGTAACCCCACCCCACCAGCCTCTAGACTCGCTGCCCTCATCCCTGCCCCTCTTGACTCATTGGGCCGTGGGCGCACTGCTTCCCTCTTCCCCGGCGGAGGCCAGCCTCCCAGCTGCAGCCTGTCACATTCCAGCCCAGGCACCTCCCTCTTCCGTTCTTCCTCGATGCCTGAACCGGGACCCTCCCCTTCTCCGAATGCACCAAGAAGGAGCAGTGTCCAGAGTGCGCTCAGCATGGGGAATGTCTGAGTGCCACGTGTGGCCCTCCCTCTAAAATAACCAGCCCTCCCGTCCTCACTACAGTGCACCAGACACGGTCTCCTGGCATGTGGATGGAACCGGGAAGGGTCAAGACCTGGTCCCAGTTCCGAGCCTCACCCCACAACCCCAGCCTCAGTCTCCCCATCTGTCCTTTGACTGACTGGGACCCAGGGGTCACTCAGGAATCTGGAAAACTTCCAATGTTCGCTCCAGCCCAGGCCCCCGGGTTCTAAACACAGAGCTCGGCTGGAATCGGGCAAAGACTGGGTGGGGGCGTTTGAGGAGGGGTTACCAACAGCAGGCTCCCCCAGAAAGAGGCGTGGGCCGCGCAAGGTCGAGGGTGGCTGCCTCTCCCCAGTTGTGTCCCCAGCTGCCCCACAGAGGGTGGGCCGGAGCACTCAGCTACCCCATCTGCAGCTTGTGAAGGTGGGGGCTTCCTGCTCTCCCGCCCCCACCTCCCCACCCCGCTCCAGCCACTGCCTTGCAGAGAAGCGAGGCACATAGTTGACCTGCAGCCAAGCAGACCGGTTCTATAAATGCTGCAGCCCAGAGAGCCGGGTGGGGGAGGGCCAGGGCTTCCCCAGCGTCCCTCGGTGGGCTGGGGGAGTATGTGGAAGAGGGAAGGGGTATGCCACAGTTCTGGGTGACCTCAGGTAAGACTCTGCTCCTCCCTGAGCCCCAGAGCCACCATCTGTACAGAGAGGACCTGGGATCGTTTAATCCGACATTCTATTATCTTCGGAATTTTATGATCTATGGAATTTCCAGTCTAGAAACAGGATGATGGGGGTGGGGGCAGGCAGACAACCTAGAAGCCTGTCAGGACAGTCATTCACCCAGGGCCGAGAGGAACGTTGCAAATGCCTTACCGTGACCCCAGCCTTTATGGATAGGGAAACTGAGGCCTGGAGGAGGGAAGGGACTGGCCTAAGATCATACGGCTTCTTGGTAGAAATATTCTGGACTTCCAGATTAGAACCCTTTACCAACCAATTGCCCAGTCCCTCCAGCATGAAGAGCACTCCGCTAGGCATCGTTTAAGAGAGAGAGGTAATTAAGGCTTATCTCGGGCCGGGCGGGGGGGGGGGGGGGGGGGGGGTGCTCGGTTGAATAGACAGAAAATTGACACAATAGATGGTTAAGATAGTGGGCTCTGCAGTCAGACTGCCTGGGTGCCGTCCTGGCTCTGGCATTTATTCTGTTTGACTTCATCCAGAGGAACTGAACCTCTCTCTCTAAGCCTGTTCCCTCATTTGTCCAGTGGGAAACGTACTGGAACCGACTTGTCAGGATGGCTAGGAAGACGGGGTGAGGTCATGCACGTGCAGCCCAGCACACAGCTCAGCCGGCCAGCAAGAGCTTTCAGAAAGTGACCCGGGCCAGCCAGACGGGGCAGATAAACTGCGGCAGGAGCCCCGAGCAGGGGGTGGTCATCAGAAATGGAGGTGATTGTTTGATCTTAGCCGTGAACGGAGGAGTTTGCAGAAGCACGATGCCGGGTAGAGGACAGCCAGGGCAGGTGTAGGGGCCGGGGGGCTTGGGAGGGGTTTGGGGGAGAGGGCCGACTGCCTGGGCCCGGAGTGCTGGCCAAGGGCCTCACCCCGGTCCCAGGCTGCACAGCCTCCTGGACTAGCAGCATCTGCAATACCTATGTGGCCCCCAGGGCATGTGCTTCATGAAGGCGCCGAAGCCAGGAGGAAATGCCGCTTCAGACAGCAGATTCCAGAGCCCTGGGCCCAGGGAGCGCAGGGCCAGGTCTGGAGGGAACTAGGGCTTGGGTAATTGCATAACCAGAACCATCCGCTGGGCTCAGAGCTAAAAATATGCCCCAGGCAGCTATCTCTGCCAGGGCCTCGCCAGGCACCCAGCGTGGGAAAGGCTGATTCAGCCTGGGCACAGATGTCGGGTGTCCCTGGTCCCAGCCCTCTGGGGAAGGAGGCAGACTTCCCCGTACGAGGACCCTCCAGGTTCCAGCATATGGTTAAGAGCCTGGGTTCCAGTCCTGGCTTTGCCACTTCCTACTCCGTTTCCTTATCCCTAAAGTGAGAATGATCACCCTGGCCCCTGGGGGTTCGGGGTTGGGTGGGAGGGTCAAATAAGGCAGCATACGGTGACATGCCAGGCATAACACATAGCAGCTATTTTCACATCAGCCACCGCGGCCCTGCCAAGCCGTCCTCCAGCCTCTCTCCTGCACGGGGGGCTCACCCCCTCCCTGGCCCTTCCAGGTGCCTGTGTTGGCATCCCTACCCCAGGATGGCCCTGCAAAATGGGAAGAGGAATACCAGGGTCACATCCTCCCAAGTCATTTCTTTCTTCCTGAACAAACTCTGAAGCCCATCAGCTCCGGGCATGTGGGCTTCGGGAGCCCCTGCCCCAGCCCAGGCTGCAAGGGGTGATACCCACAGTGGACAACTGAGACCTGCAAGAGGCCGTCGCTGCCCCATGCCATGTCTGTCCACATAGCAGGATCCCCAAGTCCACCCCCAGTGGACAAAGTGGAAAATAGGTGCCAGACAGGGGCAGGGAAGAGACTGAGGACACGTGGCAAGCCTGGGACTTTAGGGGCAGTGGCAGGCAGGCCAAAGAGCCGGCCAGAGCTCCAAAGGACAGTGTGCGTTACTCACCCGAGGCCCTCGTGCACCAGGGGGTCCGGGTAGCCCAGGTAGCCCAGGGGGACCCTGAGAAGAAAGCAAGAAGACAATGTCAGTGTTAAGTGGCAGCAAAAATCGTGTTCAGTCATTTAATAATTCTGTCCAGAGCTCTGGGCAGGAACACCCCACTGTTGAGAAGACGGGGTCTCCTGAGGTCCCCACCCTGAGGAACACATGTTCTTTGTAGATTTCGGGCCTTTGTAGCTACTGTTTCTTGGTTTTTGAAACCCTTGACTTTTATCACCCAGCTAACTTAGGGTGTCACCTCCTCCAGGGAGCCTCTTCTAATCCCTTCCCCAAGTTGGGCCAAGTTCCCTCTTTCCTTCTATTTTAAAAGCTACGATATTATTTGGGGAATTATCTGCTTAGAAGCCTGTCTCTCCCATCACATCATGGTCTCCTCAAAGGAAATAATGGGATATGAGTCATCTCTCCATCCCAGGGCTCAGCCAAGCGTTTGATAACAGAAAACAGCAAGAGACCTCAGAGCGCAGCCAAGTTCTCTGCAGAGCCGGAGCAGAGACTTGGCCAAGGTCACCCTCCGCATCCCTGCACCACGGAGAGGCAGTGCAGCAAAGAGCACAGGCTTCTGAATCAGACAGCCCTGGGTTCGAATCCTGCGCTGCCACTGACCAGCCAGGTTTGGGCAAGTATTTAATAAAAACGGAGCTATAATACCCTCCTCACTGGGGTATTTCAAGGATGATAGGAGGCACGGTGAATGTTTAACACGGTGCCTGGTACATCACTGGCACTCAAACGTTTGATCGGTTCCCAAGGCCACAGCCTGGTCCAGCTTCCATCACTGCTCCCCAAGAACCTGCCCCTCAGTGGCCTCCCTGCCTCCACTCTCCCTTCCACTCCCGCCCCTCTCCAGTCCTCCTCCACACGGCCACATTCACCTGGCCACGGCACTCCCCTGCTCAACAACATGTAATGGCTCCCCATCGCCCACAAGAGTAAGGCCTGACCCTGAAGCCACACACGCACCTGTCTGGCCCCATCCCTCTTCCGTTCACGCAGGCAGGGGGGCAGCCGAGCAGACTCCCTAAGCCGAGGGCTGCCCTTCGTTCAAATCCTGGGTTTGCTGCTGGACGGCTGGGGACTCCGTGCAGCCCCTTCCACCTGTCCGAGTCTCAGATGCCCCCTTTAAAACGGCCCGACAGCCACCGCCTCGCCCACCCCGAAGGAGATGAGGGTCAGCCAAGCGCCCGGCGCGAGGAAGGGAGCCTGCAGCCTTCGAAGGCAGCCAGGCTTTCGAGGATGTGTGAGGCCTGGGGAATTCATTTGTTTCAAATAACCGTCAACGAGATTCCAGGTTTCCTGCCCAGAGTTCAGAACCCGTGTTGAAAACCCAGTACGGCTTGGCTGGTAATTAATCCAGATCTCATGCCGGGCAGCGCCGGCTCCCAGCGCTGGCCCGCGAACGCCGCGTGCTGCCTCGTCCGGGGCGGGAAGTCAGAGGACGGATCCAGCAGGCACATGTGGGCACCAAGGGCCCCAGTCGCTGGGCGAGAGCCCCGAGGGAAGGGAGGGGGACCGTTCCGTGACCTCAGGCAAGTCCCAGCCACCTCTGAGCATCCTGGTACCTCCGCCAACTTGGCGGCGGCTTTCATTTCCTTCCACCCAGCGCTGGGGGGGTGATGGTCCCTGGTCCTCTGCCGGACTCTGCGGCTCACGACCCCAGCCGGCCCACACCCTCTCCCCCAAGCTGGCTGTGGCGGGAGTGGTAGAGTATGGTGTAAGCCTGGGGCCGGGGTTCCCACCGGCACCCCCACCTACTAGCGGGGCGGCTTTGGATCAGCTATCTCCAATCTCCAAGCCTTCATTTCTACAACTGTCAAATGAGGCTAATAATAGCAACTAGCCAACAGGTCATCTACAAAAAGTGCTAATCCCGGTGTCTGGCCCCCAGTTAATGCTCAAAAAAATGTCAGCTGTTATTTCTGTTTAGCAATCTCCTGGAACCGCCCCAAACGCCAAACCATCCTCCTTCGCATCTGTTTCTGGGGGACAGCAAAAGATGTCCCTTCCTAGAAGGCCCTCCATGACCCAAATCACCTAGGTGACTTAGAACTTAAGGGAAATGCAGGAGGCTAGGGATAATCATTACTGCAAGCATACCACGTCCTTTCAACAGATAAGAAATCAGAGAGGCTCAGAGAGGCAGAGTGACTTGCCCAATGCCACACAGCAAACAAGAGGCAGAGCCTGGTTCAAACTCAGGACCATCGGGACCTGTTCTCTTGTGCTGGCAGCTTGCACACAGACAATCTTGGTCAGGTGTGTCTCTCACTAAGTGTATGACCGTGGATAAGTCCCTTCCCTCTGTGGCCATCTGTGGACACCCAGCACTGGCATTTCCTGAGTTGTGGGGGTTGGGGTGTAATTTCCTCCACTAGGTTACCAGTGGGGAGAGGAAAGGTGGGTTCCTGTCTCACAGAGGAGACGGCCAAGGACCAGAGGGGTGCAGGGCACATGCAGGACTCCAGGGAGGGACGGGCTCCGTGGGGTGCAGCTCTCTCACGGACCCCAGTGGGGCCGCAGCTGCCCAGGCCTGGACACACCTTCTTGGCGTTTCTTCTGCCCCAGAAATGGGGCATCCAGGCCGGAGTGTGACCTCATCCCTAACATCTGCAGAGCAGACTCTGAGTGCCAGCCGGGACCCAGGGCCCAGCCTGGTGATGTCAGCCCACGGGCCAGCTCCTTGACATGGCAGCCCGGGCCCCAGCCTGGCCACCCCTCCACTCCAACAGCCTGGGCCGGGGCCTCCTGCCGCCCAGCTCTGGCCCCGGGCCTGACCCTTCCCCCCACTGCGTGCTCGAGTCGTCGGTGGGGGAGCGAGGGCCTCCCCTGCCCCGATCTGAGACCCTGCCTGTTCTCCGTGCGGTGGAAAAATGCTGCCATTTCTTTCCAGGGCCTGAAGCCTGAGCGGGTGACTCCGGGATGATTCACGGGGCCAGGGTGGGATTTTCCACTCCACGCTGCAAACAACGGGGCCTCTGAGAGGGCCCGGAGCCGAGGGGGAGCGGAGCGGGGGCTGCAGGCCCGTCCGGGGGAGGTGGAGGAGCCTGGGCTCCGCGCGCACGCAAGCAGAGCCATGGAAACCACCCGGCAGCCCCCTCCCGGCTTCTCCCAAGGGTCCTGGCCTCCGACAGCCAGACCTAGGGGAACCCCGTCCCACGGAACAAGTCCACCCTTGTGTCCAGCTGTCACGGCCCGCCTGCCAAGCCCTGCAGAAACAAGCAAGTCCTGGCTGGCATCTCCCCTGGCAGTAAGCACCGAGAGAATTAACGGGCATGAGATCTGGGAGTCCCGAGTCCTGTCCTGGGTGTGCTGCTAACTGCCATGGGACCCTGAGCAAGGACCTTTTGGTCACTGGGCCTCTGCTCTGTGTCTATAGCCTGATGCGGGTGGGCAGGGGTCTCAAAGGGCCCTCCCATCTCTAACCATCTGAGCTCGCAATTATTCCCAAGAATTCCCACAGGGCACTGAGCCTTCCCAGTCTCTGTCCTCAGAAGGACCTGCTGGCACAGAGCTTCTCGGCATAAACACAGCTATGGCCTTGAGCAAGTTACTTCATCTCTCTGTGCCCTGGGCCTCAGTTTGCCCAGCTGCGAAATGGGGATGGCATATCTTCCTTCTGGGATAAGATGTGTACATGCCGGTCATTCTCCGTTTACTCGCCAGGCCCAGGCTGTGCCGCGGGAGGCTGACCTCTGGACTGCACGCCAGGCTTCCCTGCCCTCTGGCTGGCGGCTGAGTTTATTCAATGGGAGACCTCAGCAAGGGACCACAGAGGAGGAGAAAGAGGACGTGTATTTCTCTCCCTGCTCCCTCCCTACCCGCCATGTCCTACTCTAGCTCCAGACCCTGTAGGGGAAACCCCTGCTAGAGGTTTGAACTCTCACTGGGTTCTGGGAACACCTTTCCTTCCCCTGGGCCCTCCAGGGCTGGGTGTGCTGTGACAGTTTCCTGCAGTTTCTAGACCCCTGTGCTTCAACCCCCGCTGGTCCCTGTGATGCTGCCCACACCTCTGGAAATAGGCCCTCCCTTAATCGCTCCCTGGTGACCCTGGCCCCTGCCTGGAGCCGACCCGCACAGCATGCAAACCGCTGAGCACAGGGCCTGGCATGCAGTAGGTGCTCAGACATGATACGCTAAAGACAAAGCAAAACACCCCTCCATTCTCCTATCTCAAGATCTAGCCCCAAACAAAAGCTCGAAGGCCATGGGGACTCCAGTGAGCTGCCCCTCCAGCGATGACCTGGGGTGGGTTATTGGGGAAAAAAACGAGCAAATGAAAACAGGTCAAGAAGCTTTGAGAGAAGCCCTGAGCGCAGAGGTGGGAAAAGCGGGGTGGTCCTACCCCGAAGCCCCTCCTGCCCAGCTGACATGATACTCTTACCCACCCAGGCTCCTGGGCCGTCCCTGCTCTACCGGCTAGCCCCAGGCTAGTTAATGTTTTCATAGCACAGTTCTGCAAGCAAATGTGAGGTTGTGTCCAGACCCTCCTGGCTCTCTCAGCGCAACTCTGAACCCACCAGCAATCCACAGTCCCAGCCACAACAGCCCACTAGGACCCAGGCTCTAGTGCTGTGTGCTGACATCCCTCATCCCCCTGAATTTAGCCCTGAAAAGGTAGGTGGTACTGTGTCCCCATTTTATACAAACAGAAACCGAGGCTCAGAGAGGTTAAGCGACTTGCCAAAGATCACACAGCACCAGGCCCCTAGAAATTCAATCAGCATTTGTGCAAAGATGAACAGATGGCAGGATAAGGGAATGGTTCAAACCCAGGTCATTGCAAACCCAAAGCCTGTGTGTTCTGTAGTATGCACAGCCCCTCCTCGCTCCCCTGACAGGAGGGTTCTGTACAACCTCAAGGAGTCTGGCCTGGGAGTCAGGACAACCTGTGAGGGCCAGGCCCTTAGCCGGGTCTCCCCGGGGTGACGCAGGCAAAAAGTGCAAGCACGTGCAAATGCCAGCGGCCTGAGCATGAATAAATAAGGCCTTGACTCGCCTCCTCCCGGGCGTGGGGCTTCTGTGCGGCTTCTGTGCAGCTCTGTGAGCCGCGGCCTCCCCGCCCCGGCTCACCCGGGGCCAAGCTCAGCTTTTCCATGCTCCCCCCGCCCGGGCTCCCACGGAGCTCCCCTGCTCAGCAGCTCCGACTCCCGGCAGGCCTCAGCCGGAGCGCCGTCTCGGCCTCTGCCTGCCGGCCTCCTGCACCCGAGCGCCCCGAGGAGCGGGCCTGCACACGCAGACACAGCCCAGGACCCCTCTCGGCCACTGACAGGTCCCCGTCGTGTCTAAGAGGGAACCCTTCCAACACCCCGTAGCGGGGGAGCCCCAGGGAGAGGAAAGAATTTCCCCGAAGTCACTCTGCAAAACTTCCTTCCCTTCTAGTACAGGTTTATTTGCAGATTCCTAGCTCGTCCCCCCAAGAGGGAGGCGGGAGCTACTATCGCCTTACACCCTACAGAAACCGAGGCTCAGGGTGGGTCAGAGTCACAGAGCTATACAGGGTGGAGCCAGGATTTGAACCCAGGTCTGTGCGCTTCACTGCTGCTCAGAGATGCCCCTGCCATGATGTTATTCTGGTGTCTGGTGAAAAAGAAGTGACCGGGTGGCCACCTGCTACCCAAGGGACAAAGATTCTGCCTCTTGGTTCCCGTTGGAGTGAGGCCAGGTTCCAAGCTGGGGGAGGCTGAGGACAGGGACATCACGGAGCGAGGGGCAGGGATGCCATCCGGGCAGGTCCACGTCCTCCCTCCTGCCCTCCGCGGGGAGGGCTGGGGGAGCAGGAAGAGCCTCGGGCCCGGCTGGGAGTCGGGGACCCTGAGTGCCTCCCAGCTCCTTCTGGGACATGCTGGTGGCCTTGGCCAAGTGCCTTGTCTCTCCCACCTGGGCAGTCACCTGCAGGGCAGGGAGGAACAGCGACATCCTGCCCTCCACGAGGTCCCAGAGGGAGATGCCACGCCTATGGGAACCGCTCGTACACGCGGCGGGTCACTGGAACAGAAGGTTCTGCAGAGGTTAAGCCCTTCCTTTGAGCACAGAGACAGGACCTGACTCATCTCTGGAGCCCCCAGCCCCCAGCCCTGAGTCCCGGAGCCTCAGAGTGGACACCCAGGGGGATGGACCGACATGTGTCGGTCTTAGAGTCTGGAGTCTGGGACGTAAACTTCAACCCTGCCTCCCACATGCTGTGTGGCCTTGGGCAAATCCTGGCCCTCTCTGGGCAATCTCCTGTCTCCTCCCCTGACCCGTGAGAAGGGTTGAGCTGAATGACACCTAGGCATCCATCGACCGATCGGGTTTACGGTAGTGCCTCCTTCTGGGGAGGAGGTTTGGCAGGGGCCTCCCTTCCTGCCGGCCCAGAGCCCCAAGCTCCAGGGAGAAGGATGTGATTGAGCACGCGGCAGGCGCACAGGCAGACGCCACACTCCAACAAAGCACGCTGCTCCAGCTCTGCTGGCCTGGACGCGGCCTTCCCCTCTCTCCACACCACATGCAGCCTTGGCAGGGAGGGCTGGCCTCCCCCTTGGCCGGGCCGTGCCGTGCGGCCAGGGCTGAGACCACAGACCTCACCAGCCTCTGTCAGGAGGGGACAATTCGCTCCCTTTTGACCTCACTGCCAGTGAGCCCAGCGCGCCCAGCTCGGGAGGCTGGGCTGTCGGGGCCCCGGCACCTGGTGCCAGAGCTGGGCCGGGTCCCGGCCTGGAGAGGTGAAAAGGGCTCCTCCTTCCTTCCTGGGGAAAGTGGTGGCTCCCAACTCTACGCGGCCAACCTCCCGACACGGAGCTCGAGCAGAAGGTTGACATAATTGCAAAGCAATGCATACGATTTCCATAAGTCCTGCAATATGGTTATAATAAAAGTGGACTCTCGGTCCCCTTGGAGACAGGCTGAATAAATATTATTCCTAATGATTATTAAAACTCATTAAGTGTGTTTGTTAGGCCTGGGAATTCCCAGCATCTGCGACCATCTCCGCGTGGTGGGGAGGCCTAACCTCAAACCCAGAGCCCGGTGGGAGAGCCGGCTTCGGGAAGGGGGCCACCCCACGGTGGTCATCTCCAAGGCCGGCGCCTTCTGGAAACGCCATCCCATCATTCCCCACCCGGAGGAATTGGCCTCCAGCTGTGGGAAGGTCGTTGCCCCTGGAGACGGTCCCAGGCAAGCCGGAGGCATGGACCCTGAGACCATCTCCCGCCCAAGGAATGTTCTTTCTTCCCCCTTCCTTGTTCCCTCCGGCCCTCGCTGACGCTCCTCGTCCCAACTCCTCGGCCAGGAGCCACAAATCAAAGGCTCTGAGGCGCCGGCCAGGCAGGTAACACAACCGGGTGACAGGACTCTGGCTGGAACCCTCGTTGGGAGCAGTGGGGACCGGAGCAGACGGGATGGGCTTGTCTTGCCTGAAGGCAGCCATGGGCCACTGCCACTCCCACTTTCCAAGAGACGCTGGTTGCCGACTCTTTTATAAGAAATCTCTCACATGCTTTAAACGTTAGTAACGTATTAGATTTTTTAAAACAGAATACTGCACGTGCCAAACAAAACATACCCGGGGCTACCCATGCGGGACCTTTGTCCGCAACTCCCAGCGGAGCCGAGGGGCCGGAAGGGGCCGCGCTCGGTGAGCTGGGCTTCGGAGGCGGCTCACTCGCCACTAAACCCGGGGCCACTCCGCCAGCCGCTTTCCTTAAGCCCTTTGACCTTTGCGGTTGGGTCAGCAAAGGATGGCTTGGGACCTAGGCCAACCAAAGCCCAGGGTGCTCTTCACCTGGGGTGGCCGCCAGTCTGTCCCAGTCTGACCCGCGTCCGTCCCAGCGGGTCATGAATTTGGAGCAGCGCGTGCACTAATACAGGGGCAGGGCCAGAAGAGCGGGGCCTGGGTCGTGCCCATAAGCAGCTCCCTGCTCTAAGCTGCTCCTTCCCCCACCCCCACCAGGAGCAAGCACTTGACCCGTCACCCGCCCAGAGCTCCAAGCAGCACGCGGACCCCGCCCGGTCTTACCTGCGAGCCACAGTCTCCCTTGGGCCCCGGAGGCCCCATCAGCAGAGGGAAAGGCGTAGGTCCCGCCAGGTGGAAGAACGAGTAGCCACTGCTCGTGGGCCGCGGGCTGGAGGACAGGAATTGCGCGGGGGCCAGTCCCAGGGCCGAGGTGGTCTGCCGACGGGGCTGGGCCCGTGTGGGGCTGGGTGTGTGGGTCAGGTGGCTCGACCGGGCATCCCTGGCTGCCTTCCCCGGGCTGAGGGGCGCAGGCTTCCGCGGGCTGCTCTTGGGTCCGGCTTTCTTTGAGGCTTTGGATCCAGTGCGTTTCTTGCTTCCAGTGGGGGCTGAGGCAGGAGTGGGGACGGGAGGGGCCGTTCGGGGAGTTCTGGTGCCTGAGGTTGGAGGCACCGTCGTGGCAGCTGGCTGGGTGGCCCTGGTGGGGCCGGGAGTGGGGGCAGGAGAAGGGGAGACAGTGGGCTGGGGAGGCTTGCGGGTGCCGGCGTGGGCAGCGGCGGGCTTACTGGCACGGCTGGTCATCTTGGCCCCAGGCTGGGCTGCCGAGGGAATGGGCTTTTTAGGGGAGCCAGTGGCGGGGGGTAGGGGCCGGGCGCTGGGTGGAGGGAGCCTGGGTGTCACGGGGTTCCTCTGCAGGGGCTTCACCGAGGGACGGGAGACTTTGGCAGGACCTGGGCGGGAAGTGGGTGGCACCGGGTGCTGGGCGGGCAGGGCTGACTTTGTGAATGAAGGTGGAGCAGTTTTCCGGGTAGGGTGGGGGCTCTTGATGGGGGCAATTGAAGAAGGGGCTGAAGGCTCGGCAGGGAGACTCTTCGGGATTTGGGTGGCCATGATCTTCCACGATGGCTGGGTGGCTGCAGGGCGAGGAATTCTGGTGGAGCTGGCCAGAGAGGCTGGGGGCACAGGGGCAGGGGTGTTACTGGCTGGCAGCTTGGCAGGCGGCAGTGGGGTCCGGGCTGGGCGTCCTGCTGCGGTAGGCTGGTGAGGGGCTGCGGGGCTAGTCCTTAGGGGCTTGGCGGGCGTGGCAGGCACCACGGTCACCCTGGGCCCCCTGCCTGCTGGCCGAGAGAGGGCTGGTGTGGCAGTGGTCAAGTTCTCCAGGCCCAGCAGGGCAAGGTCGGTCTGGAAGGTGAAGGGTCTGCCGGAGTCTTGGGGGAGGAGGGGTCCCGGCTGGGGCCGGTGTGTGTCGGCCCGGCCACACTGCTTTCTCAGGTGGGTACAGTAATCGTGAGCGACCTGCGTCACGGGGTGGATGCTGAAGTGGCACAGGGCACCTTCAAACTGGACTGCATGCGGGCTCATCTTCCCAAAGAGGAAGGAGCCCTCGGGGTCGAGCGCGGGGTCCCTGTGGAAAGGCAGCGGGACGGGCACCCGGCGCTGCCCGCAGGCCGTCACCAGGGTGACGGTGCGGCCACGGAGCTCGAGGGCCAGGTGGTGCCAGCGCCCGTCGTGCACGCCGAGGTCGAAGGCCACGGAGCGCCGGGGCCCCAGGTGGACAACCGTCCTGCCGGGGAGGAACTGCAGGCCCAGCTGCAGCTTGCCCCTCCGGCTGCGGACGGCGAAGAGGAAGGCGTGGTTCACCCGGTGGGAGCAGAGGCTCAGCACCAGCGCCAGCTCTGTGCCCAGGGCGGCAGGGATGACGGCGGCCGTGGGGGCCTGCAGCCGGGCCCGCTGCGTGAGGATGAAGCCCGACTGGAATGGAATGACCCCCGTGGGCGCGGGGCTCCGGCCGCCCCCCGCCTTTGTCCAGCTGAGGCCGAGCCGCTGCAGGACGTCCACATCTGAGAGGGCGGGGAGAAGGGAGAAGACACGGTCAGGGCCTGCTCCAGCCCCAGACAGCCCCAGGCGCACGGGCAGTGTGGACAGTCCCCCCGAAGCTACCCGGTCATTTGTTCACTCGTCTAAACATAACGCTGCCCCATGATGGTGGCTAGGGCAGCGCTGGAGCCATCCGGTTTATATTGCAACACCTTGTCTGGCCGCACGGTCTTGCATGTCGGGGTCAAAAACACACTTCCCGGGTTCGAATCCCAGCTCTGCCACTTGCTAACCCCATGACTTTAGTGCCTCAGTTTGCCCATCTATTAAATGGGATAGCAGCAGTCTCAACCTCAGGTGGCTGTTGTAACTACTATATGAGTATATACGCTTTTTGAAAAGTGCCTGGGACAAAATAAGCACTTCCAAATGATAGCTACTAACACTAAAAATAATGATCGTCACCAAATGCTAGTGGTCAGAGTGTTAGAGTCTGCCCGGCCATAACTTGTTATATTCCTTTTTCTCTACCTGAAAAGCCGCCTCCTCCACGAAGCAGTCCTGTAAGCGAGGGACCAGGGCGACAGGAATGGGCACATCCACGGAGCGTGGTGAGGGTGTTCGGGGGCCTGACTGGTTTCACCACCTCCTCAGGAAGCCACCCGTCCCCTCCCCCCACCCGGGGTTTCTGTCTGGCTGGAGCAGGACAGAGCTGCTATCTTCTGCTGTCAGAGGAGGTGGCATTTCCGCTGACTCCTCCTCCGCCCTGTGTGGCTCTGGGGAGAGCCTGAGAAGTCATCAAGGCAGCCCTGCAAGCTCTGTCCTCTGGCGCAGCACTTGCGCATCTGACCCTGGTCTGGCCAGGTCACATCCGCCCGGTAATTACATCGCTGCGGCTCGCCAGAGCGAGAGCGGCTTTCCAGAGTGTTTATGGGAAGGCTTCCTGACCTGTCTCTGCCAGACCCCCTTCGGCCGGCCGGGCTGCCAGTGTCTGCGCAAGTGGGCGCCGAGCTCCCTCTCGGCAGGGAGCAAGCTAGCCCCTGGGTGCCGAGTGCTCTCCTCCTGTCGCCCCAGGCAACGGCTGCCATGAAGGCTGAGGGCAGCACTCGGCACTTAGGAGGCCCCCAGTCGACATTCTGAGATGGCCAGCTGGCTGGGCGAGTGGATGGGTGGATGTGTGGATGTGTGGATGGATGGGTGGATGAGTGGATGGGTGGATGGATGGATGTGTGGATGGATGGATGTGTGGATGGATGGATGTGTAGATGGGTGGATAGATGGATATGTGGATGGATGGATGTGTGGATTGACGGATGGATGAGTGGATGGGTGGATGGATGGATGTGGGATGGATGGATGTGTGGATGGATGGATGTGTGGATTGACGGATGGATGAGTGGATGGGTGGATAGATGGATGTGTGGATGTGTGGATGGATGGGTGGATGAGTGGATGGGTGGATGGATGGATGTGGGATGGATGGATGGATGAGTGGATTGATGGATGGATGAGTGGATGGGTGGATGGATGGATGTGTGGATGGATGGATGTGTGGATGGATGGATGTGTGGATGGATGGATGTGTGGATTGACGGATGGATGAGTGGATGGGTGGATAGATGGATGTGTGGATGGATGGATGGATGTGTGGATTGACGGATGGATGAGTGGATGGGTGGATGGATGGATGTGTGGATGGATGGATGTGTGGATGGATGGATGTGTGGATTGACGGATGGATGAGTGGATGTGTGGATGGATGGATGTGTGGATTGACGGATGGATGAGTGGATGGGTGGATGGATGGATGTGGGATGGATGGATGGATGTGTGGATTGACGGATGGATGAGTGGATGGGTGGATGGATGGATGTGTGGATGGATGGATGAGTGGATGGGTGGATGGGTAGATGGATGGATGTGTGGATGGATGGATGAATGAGTGGATGGGTCGATGGATGGATGGATGGATGGATGAGTGGATGGGTGGACGGATGGATGTGGGATGGATGGATGTGTGGATTGACGGATGGATGAGTGGATGGGTGGATAGATGGATGTGTGGATGGATGGATGAGTGGATGGGTGGATGGATGGATGTGTGGATGGATGGATGAGTGGATGAGTGGATGGGTGGATGGATGGGTGTGTGGATGTGTGGACTGACGGATGGATGAGTGGATGGATGGATGCGTGGATTGACCAATGGATGGATAAATGGACAGATGGATGGATATATGAACAATGGGCCGCTGAGGGAAACTGAGAACCTGGGTGATGGCAACATGGCATAGTGCTTCCATAGCAGGCCCTAGAGTGAGAAGGCCAACATTTAGAGCCTGACAAGACCACCTGTAGGCCTGGACTCTGAGCCTCAGTTCCTTCCACTGTAAAACAAGGCTACAAAGAAGAGCACCTTCATCACAGGGCGCTGGGAGGACGAAATGGTCAGTCTTCCTCATCATCCTCCCTCAAGCCCCATACCAGGTAACTCTGCTCAATCTCTTCCTGACCCTTGGGCCTCAATGTCCCTGCCTGTAAGGCAAGGGAGCTGAACCAGACCGCGAGATGGCACAGGTGTTCATGATGGTCCAAGAATCCCACAGCTCCACCGCACTGTTTCCGGTTGGCTGGGATTTCAGACCCTCATTCTCCTTTAGGACCCAGGGGCATTTCATTTTTCTCCAAATCCTTCCTTCTCATCCTTCCTCCCCTCTGTCTGTCCCCAGGTTCTAAGCTAAAATAAACCACTGCTAAAAGATTCTCTTAGTAGTATATCTTCTACGCTTTAATCACTGAAACCTTCTTATTATCATGGAATACTATCACTATAGACAGCACGGAATGGGAAGAGCCACTTGGTGGAAGAAGAGGTGGGGGCAGGAAGCCAGGTGGCCCCTTGCCCAATCCCCACCTCAGGACCCCGTCAGGCCTGCTCACCTCCCTCCCTACACGTGACACGTACAGCCGCTGGCACCCAGCCAGGGGGAATCACAACTGGCCATGTGGCACGGATGAGGTGCCCCTGTCATCCTCTCTAGGTGGGTTTCTAAGCTGACAACCAGCCAGTCTTCAGGTGTCCCCTGAAGGCCATCTGCAGCTAAGGGGCCAGGCCCCAAACTCGGACACCTGGCACAAGTGGCCAGAGCAGAGCCGCTGTGAGTCTTTGTCCACTGCAGCCCCCCTGGGAGGCGGGGACAGGAAAGGGATGTTCTTGCCCGGACTTTTCGGATTAATAATTAACAATAATAAAAACTAATATTTGCTGAGCACTCCCTACACACCACACACTTTCCAACAGTCTACGAAGCAAGTACTTTCTATTACCCTCATTTTACAGATGAGGTTCAGAAGAGTTAGACACAATAACTAGCCCAAGGCCATGCAGCTTATAGAAGGCACAGCTGGGGTCTCCTCTGAAGATGGGGCCTCTTGGACAAAAAAAGGTACGACTGGGGTTTGAACCCGGGCCACCTGACCCCGGGTCTTTGTTCTTAAGCACGATGCTGTCCTGCTCCGGATCCTCCCAGACTCGCTGGAAGGCAGGGTGGAGACACATCCAGAATCCCATCAAGGACGAAGAGATGGGGGACAGGGGAATGGATTGAGCCCAACGCCAAGAGGAGCGGCCCCAGCCAGCTGGCCCCGGCGAGATCCCTTTATTACATAAACCTGGCTCCACACAGCTCCGGCCTCTCCCCGGCCCCCCCACCTCCCACCCCGGGCCTGACTCAGGACTCTGGACAGCTGTTCACCTACTTTGTGGGGGAAACAGCAAGCTCGGAAAATATGACATTTGCACAAAATGTTGCCAGGCAGCACAAGTCTCTTCCGGGCACGGCCCTCCCCTCCCAGGGGCCCAATCCTGGCCTAGTGGCCAGGTCAGGCCACTGGGACTCTTGGCATGCTCGCCGCCTGTCCCAACACACAGGCCGGGCGTGGAGGAGGGGCAAGGACGGTTATGTTCGGAGGCTTTGTGGCTGCTTGACAAACAGATGTGGGAGAGGTCTCAGTTTCCGTGGGCAGCTGTGGAGCTGGCCCGCTGCCCCCCTGGCCCCCTGGCCAGCTCCTCGGAGACCAGAGGGGAGAGCAGGATCTCACGGGAAGGGGGTGTGGGATTCCAGGCTTGGGCAATGACAGTTGTGGCCTTAGTGTGTCCTCTCAGCAGTTTCTGGAGCACCCACGGGACAACTGTGGGCAACTGAGGCTTACTGAGCCAAAGTGAGTCACTCAAATTCTGCCCTATACAGGGATGCAAGCATCACCCTTCCACGTTTCTGCATGGAGCCCCTCCTGCCCCTTACAAAACTCCAAACGTGATTCTCTCCAGCCAGAAGAGCATTTGCCAGTGATAGGCTCCATTCTACTGATGGGAAAACTGAGGCACTGAGTTCCAATGAGAGGCACGGATGTCTCCTATGTGTGAGCTCTCAGACCCCTTCCGTCCTCTTTTGTCTCCCCCGGGACAAAGAGAAGAGAGAATTACCTTCAGGAACTCCTTGGGTGGAGGCCAGGTGACAGGCAAACGAGACTAAGATCCAGGAGAAGAGAAACCCCCTAGAGACCGGGAGACACAAGCAGACGCGGCATCAGCTTCCACCCCTCGCGCCCGGATCCGGCTAGCGGGGCCCGGAGTGGACCGCCCAGCCCCGGTCCCGCCCTGGTCCCGTCCACGGCAGGTGGGAGGCAGGCCCGGGCTCCAGGACCCCGTCAGAGCAGCCCACGCTCCCAGGCCTCTAGGAACAGCCTCGCGATCAGGACCTGCCCACATGTACAAACACCACCTCGCTTTGCACAGATAGATGAGCCGAGGTCACGGGGCAGGAAGCCGTGGGCAGGAAGCCCTGCCCTGGGGGTCAGGAGATCCAGGGTCCAGCTCAAAACCTGGCGCTAAGTCTCTTGACAATCGGGGGCCAGCCCCTCCCATTCTCTGGGCCTCAGTCTCCCCATCTGTACTATGGCCTCACGATCTTGAGACCCTTCCCAAGTCCCCAGCTCATGGGGTGGCAGAGCCAGGGTTGAAAGGTCCGTGGGAAAACCAGACTGGTCTGCTCGGATGACTCATCTCCTCCAAGGGCAGGAGAGAGGGGAGACCCCATAAGCAGGACCGGCGCTGTGCTAAGGCAGCCGCCTCCTTGGCTCTGTGCTGACGGGCAATGGGAGGAAAGAAAACAGGAGGTGATGGGGGTTCGTGCACACCCAGAGGCAAACCTGCCCTCTCGCTTATCAGCTGTGTGTCCCCAGATGAGTCACTCAGCCTGTCTGGTCCTCTGCAACATGGGCAGACAGTCCCTGCTTGCAGACGAGGCGTGAGGATTAGATAAGCTCATGCACGTTAAGGGCTCGGCTGAGAGCCAGCCACGGGGTGCTCCCTGGACAGTCCCTGCTGCCCCTGTACTCCGGGGCCAGGAAGGGTTAAAGCTCTGCTCAGTGGCTCCTGCCAACAGGGGCAAGGGCAACGATCCGATTTCACCTTCCTGTGGGAGCAGCCACCAGCGACACCCGAAGCCACCCGGGCATCTGATCCCCAGGCCGGCAGAGGGGAGGGCGGCACGTGGCCAGGGATGGCCACGAGGCAGGCAAGAGAGCTGTGCCAGGCGGGTGACGGCTAGAGCTGGGACACATAGGCCAGGATGCGTTTCTAAGAGGAAGGCGAGGATGGGGCGCTTCTGGGGAACCATGAAATCCAGGAAACCCACCTGCCAGGCTGGTGTCCAGAGCCCCAGCTTCCTCCCAGGCTCCTTGGGCACCTTGGGGGACAGGTTAACACCCTCTATCGACTCCCCCTGCTTTCAAATTCAATAGCAATTATGATCAATCGCATCCATGACTTGGGCACTGTGAACGGCACTAGTGGTTACAGCCGTCCCCCACTTCCTGCTTGTTCATGCAGGCGTGGACTTCTGAGGGTACTGGGTGAATCTGGATAAGTCCCAGCCAATCTTGGGAATTTCATTTACCATGCCAGTGACTGGTTAGGCATGCATATATGACCCAAAGGAGGGCCATGAGACATGAGGGATACCTGATAGGGACCTTGGAAAAGCACTTAAAAAGAAGAAAGAGTTGGTTTTCTTCTAGCCTCTGCTTGTGGTGGAATGAGGACATACTGCTTGGAGCTGCTGCAGCCATTTTGTGCATATGAGGTAATAACCCCCCTGGAGTACATGAGAACAGCAGAAGAATAGTGGGTGTTTGATGACGCAGTTGAGATGCTAAAACTCTCTTCCTTGGGACCTCTTGATATGGGAAGTAATAACCCCCTTATTGTTTAAACCATGTCGAGTTAGGTCTTGCTTGTGGCATAAAGCAAACTAGCTCAAACACAGGTGCTGATGATGGCAGCTCAAAAGCCTCCTCTAGCTTCTGGGCCTTTGCACATGCTGCTCCCAGCATCCAGATGCTGCCCTTTGCCCGGTCAGTTCCTGCATGTTAGACCCCAGCTCGGCTGTCAGCTCCTGCAGCGCATTGCCCAGACCTCACCACAGGGTGTGTCGAATGTGTGGCCACGGCTTTCCTGTCGATTTCCCTCTCTAGACTAAGGCCCCAAAGGGCAGGCACATCTGTCTTGTTCACTCATATTCCCAGCACATGGCAGGCGCATCGTAAGTATCCATTGTATTTCTGCGAGATGAATGAATATTACCCGGCATTATAGGATTGTGGACTTCAAAAAGTGTCTTCCCAAAGCCTTAACTCCCCAGCTCAACTATTTCCAGGGTTGTTCCTGGATAATCCTTGGTCCTTCCTCATCCTCTCCAATCTGCTGCCACTGCTGTAAACATGCTTTTATCATGGGACCAGCCCTGCAGGGCAACGACTAAGGTCCGAGTGCCAAGCTGCCCGGGGCGGGGGGGGGGGGGGGGGGGGGGGGGGGGGGGGGGGCTGGAGAAAGGGACAGAGCATGACCCGCTCACCCGAAGCAAACGGCAGTATCATCACCCCTGGAAAGAAATGACGGGCAGCTTTGTTTCACTTGACAAATGGAGAAAGCTGCGGCTCAGGAAGGCAGGGACTTCCTCCCCCCAGTCACCCTGGGCAGGCCCTGGGCTCATAATTCTTCAGTGCTACTTCCCACACCCACCAGGGACACTCCGGGGAGCTGAGCCAGATACACTGGGGAAGAGCCGTCTCCTGCAGCCCTGTCTTGACAGTTCCCAAGGCACAACTACACACCAAACGTTCTGAGAAGTCCTGCAATAAAGAAACTGACTGTACTCTCCATCATTCAGCCGTCCCCAAATTTACAGGACCAGGGAACTCACTTGTCCTGAGCGTGCGTCCTCAGGAGACGCTGCCCCTTGCTTTCCTGTGTTCCTGCGACCCCACTGGTTTCTGCTCTGTTTCCTGCCGGCCCCCTCCCTTCCTGGCGTTTGCCTGGCATCTGCCCTCCCTCCTTGAGTCCTGCGCTGTGCTATGTCACATCCACCCTTCCTAGGACGTTCGCCAAGCTGAGGAAGAGAAGCCAGGTGGGAAAGGGCAGGTGTGCGAACCACACGTGTCCTTCTCAGTCCATTTTTCTGGCTGTGGTTATATCAAGGTGACTACTCTGCAGAGAATTAGAGGGTAAATCAGGGGGAACTTTTTTAATCCCTAAAGGTCAGGAGAAAGAAGACTCACAGGGAACAGGGATCAGAATCTTCTCTTCCATTAAGCTTCCTAAGGCCATGGCCTCCCCCTACTGCAAAGGTATTCGGCCCCCATTCATCCACCTTGACAGATGCAGCCGGCCCTTTGGGATCTGAATTCTGTGTGCACTTGACCCATACACTTCCCGAGTATACGGCACATCTGCGTGGGAGACGGCCCCTCGAGATCATCCAGATTCTAGTCCCCTTGCCACTTTGGAGACATGGGCAACTGAGGCCCAGAGAGGGGAAGCGACTTGCCCAAGGTCACACAGTGCTCTGACTCTATGACTTGACAGTCCTTTTCATTTGACTTGTCTCCCATGGAGAAGAAACTGGAGACTTGCAGGGACTTCCTACTTGTCAGAGGCCAGAGTCCCAGCCTTCACCAACAGGAACAGAGATGCAGCCCAGGGAGCCAACGAACCCTGTGAGCTCCAGGCATGGAAAGTTGGCTCCTGGAGGGAGGCCCTGCCGGTTCTTTTGCTCCCATTCCAACGCTGTTTAGGCTACCGCTAATAATGTTTAGTGCCTGCGCTGGCTCGGGGCTTTGTTCTTCCAGACTTCTGTTTGCACCACTGCCTCGTGGGCCTTGGCTCGGTGAACCCCGGGCTCCGGCATGTCGGGAAGCCCAGAGCACAGAGGCCAGGGAGGCCGGGAGGTAGCGGAAATGGGAGCCACGAGGAAGGGAGCCTTGGAAAGAGTTTGGCCACGCAGCCCTCCAAGAAGGGAACCCAGGTGTTTCTATGCCCTGCAAAAGGCCCTCTGCCAGGGCACCAAATGTGGCTACTCCTGGACAGCCAGGCTGCCAGCACCTGCAGCCCATGTGGGTGGCTTTTCATTCATGCCTGTTACCTGGAAACACACGGGATCTTGAACACCCACACCCGCTTGAACAGTCACCGAGGGCACAGAAACACACATGAAAGAGGCCCTGTGGACACCTGGAGTGACAGTTCTCATTTGGCGCAAGCTGGGGCTGGCCGGGAACCACAGAGTGGCAAAGGAGGTGGACCTGTCCCACCTGTGTCCGTGGACTGGCCAGAGCGCCTGTGCCCAGACAGCCGCACCCAGGCTCCTTTCTTCACACCTTCCACTTCCTCCATGGGAACACAGACCGGTCATCTGTCTGGACAGGATGCAGCCCAGAACTTTCCCATTGACTCACACGCCCATTCAAGATGAAGGGAATAATACGAATAACAGCTGCTGTTTATTGAGCACTTACTACATGCCAAACACTGTTCTAAGCCCTTTACAAGCACGGCCCCATTAATCTGCACAAAACCTGGCCAAGTGGGAACGAAGATGCCCATTTTGTAGATGAGAAAAACGGGGAGCAGAGAGTGGCTTGCCCGAGTCAAGATTCAAACCCGAGCCTGCCGGATTGCAAGGCTAATGCTCCTTCTGCCCTGCCGTGGGTCCATGTTTTACTGCCATCCTCTGTCGCCAACTGATGGGGCTCTCCACGTGCAAAGCCAGGTGTGGGGGTATCAAGAATGTCCCTGGACACAGAGATCAGGGAGGGAATATGCCAACAAAGAACGGGTGAAGCGTGCTCAGAAAGGGACAGAGAAAGCAGAGAAAGCGGGTTGCATTTGAGGGCAGGCCCCTTCCGGCGCCCCACAGGGGGGCTGCCAGCTGCTGTGGGGCTGCAGGGCCCGAGGAAGCACAAGGGAGGGAGGATGCTCCGCGTGCAGGGAGCAAAGGAAGGAAGCAGAGGCCAGGGATGTGCTCCATGGTCAGTGTCATGGAGCCTGGGCTGGCGAGAGGGGTCCCGGAGCAAAGCTAGGAGGCATGCCAGAGCAAAGAGCCCAGGATGAGGGGCAATGCAGTGAAAAGGGAGGCAGGGAGGCTGGTAGACAGAAGGCAGAGGCTGAGCCTCAAAGCAGTGTGACTGGCCACTTGCCCAAAGCTTGGGCCCCACTATGGGGTGCTTGCCTGGTACCACTTTTCTGCCCAACCGCTGGCATCTGCCCTGGCACAGGGTCTTCTGGAGAAAATGAGTCAGCAGTGTGCTCACTGGTGCCCTGTGTGTGTGTTGCGGTGGGGAGGGGGGCGGGGGATCTCAACGAGCCAGCTTTTTCCAAGACATGGGGAAGAAGGGGGGGCGCCATCCCCTTGACTCCAGCTCGGAGCAGGCAGGGCATGGGGGGGTGGGGGCGGGGCAGAGCTATAGCCTCGACCAGCCTCTTGGGAGTGTCCTGGGGTCCCGGGGGCAGGACAGACAGAGGGGAGGGCCTGCTCCCACGCACTCGCTCCCACACACACCCGCACGCGGTGCAAGGGTGACAGTCTTGCACGGCTCACTGTCTTACAACTCCCACCCACAAGCTGGGAACCCCAGCCTCTGGGCCCGGCTCTGCACCGCCCCTCCCTAGAGCCTGCTCCGCCCCGGCCTGTCTCCCCATCTGTGCAATGAGGGGTCCCACTTAGCGCTCTGCCGGCCCCTTCTGCTCGGACATGCTGGCTCTCACTCTCGTCTCTTACACACGCGAAAGGGACAGGAACTGAGCTTCCCCAGAGAAGCAGGAAACACTGAGGCACACAGATCCAGGCAGACTCACACACACGGAGCTTTCCAGAAACTCAGGGACGTGCAGAGCCACACAGACACGGAGACAGGAGCAGAACCCGAGACCTGGTGACCTAGAAACTTGCGGACAATTTCACAAGAACAGATAGACACGGAGATGTCCAGGCTCAGAACCTGCAGACACCGAAATACCGGAACACGCCAAGACGGCCCAAAACGGAGACCCCTCCTCCCGCAAGCGTCCAAAACGCCCTCCCGGCCCCCCGCCGGCCGCTCCAGGCGCCACCACCCACCCCCAGCCCGCCCCCGGCCGGCTCTGCCCCCGCCCGGCGGCGTGGAGCGGCGGGCCAGGCGCGCAGGGCGGGCGGCGCTCGCCAACCCTCGCCCGGCCGGGGGCGCAGCCCCTGTTAACCCTTGGCGTCCCGCCCCGCGGGGGCGCAGGAAGGGACAGGAAGCTGACGTTCCGCGGGAAGCGTCCGCGTGGCGGGGAACCCCAGCCCTCCCGAGCCCGGAGCAGCAGGAAGCTGGGGAGGGGGCGTCCCCGCGCTCGTACTCACCCCCCGCGCGCCGCCGCCGCCGCCGCCGCTGTGCCTCGGGCCCCCCGCGCCGATCCCGCTCCCATGGCAGGCCCCTACTTCATGCTCCCGAGCCCGGGGGGCAAGTGTGGGCGCGCCCCATGGGGCCGCCAGCCCCCCGCCCCGCCGCGCCAGGCCGGCTCAGAGCGCGCGGCCCCCGCGCCCCCAGCGCAGCCCCGCGCCCCGGGGCGCCCGAGCAGGCAGGCGGCGCGGCTGGGGCCCCGCGGGCGCCCGCGCCAGGCCCATGGTCCCAGGAGTCCGGGCGCCGCGCTCGCCCCTGCCGCGCTCTTTTCCTGCTTCCACCGAAAAGGAAGAAGAAGCAGGAAAAAGAGAGAGAGATGATCAAACTTTTGGAGGCGGGCTGCTGGCGGCCCCGGGAGGCAGAGCAAGGCCGGGCGAGGGCGCGCGGCGGGCGCTGGAAGCTGCCTCCCCGCCGGCCTGGGGGAGGAGAGGAAAAGGAAGGATTTGGGGGAAATGAAGGCGATTTAAAGTCTCGGCCCGCGGCGGCTCCCCACCTTCCCTCCTCCCCGCGCCGGGCCGCCCTCCGCTGCCCCCTGCTGCCCCCTGCCGGCCGCAGCCGGGGACGCAGCCTCAGCGGGCCACTCGGCCCGCCGGGACACCCGCCCCCTCCCCCTTGTCAGGACCCGCAAACTTTCGGGAGGAAGGGGTTGCCCGAGGCTGCACGACGACTGACACAGTCCGAGATTAGGAACTTCTGACTCGGGAGACGGGGTCCTCGAATTGGGGGATGGAGGTGAAAGGAGAAAGGGGACAGTTTCTACTCCTGAAAGGAACCCAGGGTTCCAGGGACAGAGCTGGGACCAGGACCTGGTGTCCAGAGTCCCAGGACAACCGGTGTTGTCCCCCCACCGCCGACCAAAAAGACTGCACTCCTGGGTACACAGCGCCCGGGAGAATGTAGTGGGTGGGCCGGTTACATGTTTGTCACCGTCCTCTCCCTTCACACTACCTTGTGAGAAATGGGGACTTAACCCCCAGCCTCCAGAGTCGGCCAAAGACTCCGGGATCCCACACCGGAGCGCAGAGCCGCACACCCTGACCCACCGCAAGGACAGACCTCACACCACAACCCCAGTCCGCCCCGGGACCACAACCTCCCCCTCCGCCTCTACCTCCGTGACTCGTCCACAGGCAAACAGACTCGCACACTCATTCACTGATGCACACACACACACACACACACACACACTGACCCCAGACTGAGACAACAATCACACTTATTCACATGCAGGCACGGCCACGCACTCTTCCTAGGTTCACGCGAAACACTTCCTCTGATGTCTGGCCTGGGGCGCGCCCTGAGACTCCGCGGACGCATGCACACGAGTGCTTACACACGCACAAATGCACACTATCCTGGCCAGATCCCCCCAACGTACACACCCGTGCGCACACCCCGCCACGTGCACACACACCCCCATTGCACACAGCTCTAGCCAGTGCCCGCTGCACACGTGCACACACGCACTCACTCCCCATGCGTGTACCCACCTCCCCATGCGTGTGCCCACCTCCCCATAGCGCGCACCTTTGCGCGCGCGCACGCACACACACACACACACACACACGCGCGCGCGCGCGCGCGCACACACACACACACACACACACACCAGTACTGCCAGCGCCCCAGGAGCCCCCGGGCACTTACTGGGTCCCTAAGTGCGAGAGCGGCGGGTCGGTCCTTCCTCGGTCGCCTAACGGCATTTGTATTCATGGGTCCCCGCAGCCGCGGGCGCGGGGGCGGGGGTGCGAGGTCCCCTTCCCTAAACCCGGCGCGGGCGCGCAGGGCGCAGCGGCACCGGGAGGGGCATGGGCGCGCGGGACTGCGCCGCCGGCCCGGTCCGCCTGCGCTCGAACTTCCGCCGCTCTGTGTCCACGGGCTGCGGCGCGGGCTCCGGGCGCGGGGGGCGGCTCATAGGTGCTGAGGCCGCGGCGCCCGCGGGGCCTTTTGAAGTCTCCGCTGGGGGCGGGGAGGGGGCGCTGAAGGCAGCCTTTTAAACCGTGGCTGCACGCGGGCTTGGTCGAGCAAGGTGTCTGGTTTCAGCAAACCTTAGGAAAAGTCCCAAGCCAGAGAGAGGGGAGGTGGGGGGCGGCGGGGGGAGCCGCATAGCTGTGCGCTGCTTCCTGCAGGGGGCAGAGCACCCAGGGCTGCCAGGAGGGAGGCGGGCGCGGTACTGCGGAACCGGCAGGCGGCTGGATGGCGCGTGCAACCACAGCCAGCACCACCGCCAGCCCGGCGGACGAGTCCTTAACCTCCGCGAGGACGAGCCGCAGGGAGTGCAGGAACACCCCGCAACCGTGCACCAATTGTGCAAGCTCGTGCATTCTTCTGAGGAGAGGGGCCATGGATTTTCCTCAGGTTTTCAGAAGTCCACGGCCCCTGGCGGTTGCAAACTTCCAGTCCGATCATAGCTGATGTTTTCTGAGCTGCATACTTTGTGCCAGGCAGATCCTGTCTTTATTTACGTTTTTGCTACTTCGTTCATTGTGGAATTTTTGCATTAATTTTGACACTTAAAGTATTGCACTAGCATGTATGTCTTGATTGCTTGGGGCTTTTTTGGCACCCTGTTAGATATTTACCTCCATGACTGGCATCCCCTGGTATTTTGCATCTGTATTTGCCTCACCCTGGTCCCGGCCCTGACCCAGGCACTGTCTGTTATTATCTCTCTATATAGATGAAAAAGCTGACAGAGTTGGCAGGTGGCGGAGGTGGGATTTGAACCCAGGTAGCCTATCTCCTTTCTTCTGCATCTGGGCATGGTGATCCAAATCTTACCCTCCAAGGGTTCTGAGCAGATCTTTCCCAGCCTCCCCAGCCTCACATATCCTGCCCCTCAGCTCCAGCCTTTCTGATGTCTGCACCCAGGCTATGGCAAGCTTGGCTACTTCGAGGACTTTGTCCATGCTGTTTGGGACCGGGTTCTTCCTCTGCCCCATTTCTACCTATTCACAACCTCGTTGTCCTTCTAGGAGCAGCTCCAAGCTCACTTGACTCTGGTTAGCTGCTCTGCCCATGCCCGTATTGTAGCACACACCGCATGGTGTTGTCATTGTCAAATCCACACCCAGCATGGAGCCTGGGACATGACAGATGCTGAAACTATTGGTAATTTAAATGCTTTTAAAAAAAATTCCTACAGTATGCAGTACCCCCCCCACCCCACCCCCCACCCCCCCGCCAAGCAAGGCTCTATGGGAAGAGAGCCTGCCACTTTGGGCACAGGGACAAAGGAACTTCCGCATGGTCCTGCCTTCTGGGCATGTACACATTTATAATGGGACAGAAGACTTGCACAGCAACTTGGGATAGGAAAGAGAGGCTGGATGGGAGACATCAGACGCCACCATGTCACGGAGAACCACCTGCAACCGCATAAAGATAACACAAGGAAAATGTGACAGAAAGATAATAATACAAGGAGAATGTGATAGATGCTATCACAGAGATATGGATCTGTTGTCGAGCAGACTAAGAGATGGAGAGAAACCAAGGAAGGCTCCCAGGAGGAGGTGAGATTTGGATCCTAAAGGATGTGTTGGATAAACATGCAGCCATGGAAGTGTGACATCTCCAGCAGAAGAGTACCAGAAAGGCCAGGAGGGTGGGGATGGATTTCAGGCAGGGTTTGAAGGAGAAGTGGGAGGGGGGCAGTGGAGAAACTGTCCAGTTCTCCCCACTGAACCGTATGGGTGACACCACACAGCTCACTGGCCACAAGGCCATTTCCAGGCAAGGGGTTGCATTTCCTCGAAGGTCAGGCAGCAGGCCAGTGGCTGAGGGCTAAGTCGTTTCCAAATCTCACTCACAAATCTGAGTATGCAATGCTTAGCACCAGGGAGCCCTGCTCCACTGAGGACAGCCTAAAAGACCCATGGAAACTCCTTGAGAGCCCAAAAGAATTGGCGGCATCCCCTCCCAGGGCCTCACTCTCCCTATCTGTAAAATGGGTGCATCAGACATGATAATGTGCGTGGGCCCTTTGAGCTTGGGAGTATGAGACTGTTATTCAACAATAAACCCAATTCAGTGAATCCTTACTGAGGGCTAACTGCATGTTGCTAGGCTGGGAGGGAAATGAGGCTCACGGCCGTCCAGGAGCTCACAGTCAGCTGGAAAGAGGAGACATGGATGCACACCGATAAGAATTCCAGGGAAGGGGCCTTGCATTCTGCCGCTGCCGCCCCTTTACCACAGTCCTTCTGCCAAGGTGGTTCCTGGCGCAGAGCCAGCGACAGCATGAGCAGCTATGAGGGAGGCTGAGTCGAGAAGACACTGAGCCATTGCCCACCCTGTGAAGGGGACAGGGCACTGACCTGCCAGCCTGAGCAGGCCATCTCTACGGGGCAGAGGGCAATGCCTGGGAACTGGGGCGCAGTGGCTGCCAGGCCTATGTGGACACTCCAGGGATGAGGCAGAAGGGAGTGCCCGGCCTGGTGGGGACTTTTGGGGACCACATAGTTTGCTCCCTGCGTATTACAATATGCAAGTCCCGTGTGTGTGTGTGTGTGTGTGTGTGTGTGTGTGTGTGTGTGTGTGTGTGTAGGAAAAGGGGGGTCCCTTCACATCCCAAAGAGTGCTCAGTCAGTGTCAGCAGGTGATGACATCATCAAGTGGATTTCGAAGTGTTGAAAGTTCGTCCAGTTCAATGCCCAGGTGGTTCCATGATCTTGGCAGTCAAGCTCACATGTGGCGAATCTGCTGTCAGAGACACCAGGGAGACAGCTGTGTTAGGGAATCGCCACCCCCCTCCATCAGCTGCAGGCTGCACTCCGAGATCCCGGCCGGCTTGCCACCCTAGGTCCAGACCATGCCTTGCTACCCTAGGTCCAGACCATGCCTTGCCACCCTAGGTCCAGACCATGTGGGGCCATCCATTCCTGCTCGCGGTAGTTCCAGGGAAAGTTGGCCAATGCAAATGCCGTTGGGTGCTTCCCTTTGTCCCGAAGTGAGGACAGAGAAGCCACACATGCGCACACCACTCTGCCTCCCATGCAAGAAGCCAGCTCCACAAGGAGCTTTTCAGATGCATCTCTAAGTATCATCACGCCAAAGCTTCTTTTACAACGAGTGTTGAAAACTACAACTCTGAAATCAGCCGAAGCCTGACGCTATGGCCGGAATCGCTCTGAAAGCAACAACCCCACGCTCCCCCCAAGCCATCCTTTCTCCGGGCCCAGCGCTCTCATTTCCTCATGAGTGCCTCATCTGGCTCTCCTTTCATATCTTCTGTCCTTGTCTCCTCCAAGGGCACTGCAGTTTTTCAATTCACAACCACTGCCAAGTGACCAGAGTGACAAAGCTCAAGGGTTTGGGTGGCATCTGACTAGCACAGAGTTGAGCGAGACTGTCACCTCCTCCCATATATAGTCTACGCTCCCGTTAGTGCAACCTGAGTACATATTAGCTTTTTTGGCAATCACAGCACAACATTCACACGAACCTGATGACCGTGAAGAAGCCCTAAGACTTTCTCACGTGCCTCTTCTGG